GTCAACTTTTGTACCTTTTTTTCTGAGAGTGTCTGTTCTTGAATTTCTTTAGATTGCGGCATGATGTGTTGCTTTTTAAGCATGCTTCACTTTGTCAGACAGGTTCTATTCAAGTGATTTCTGTCAGTAATCAGGCCTGGGTGTGGCTTGTGAATTTTAACTCGGCTTTCTAAAATAATGTGGTTAATCACAGTTCGTTCATGATTTAACAGGAGTGGGCAATTCATTTTTCACCTAGGGCCAGGTAGGTTTGGACAGCTTTTTTCCCACTTTGAGAATGAAATGAAATGAAATGAAACAGAATGAAATCATCATTTAAAAAATGCATTTTGTATTTACTTGCATTATCTTTGTGTAATATTAAAATTTGTTTGATGATCTGAATCTTTTAAGTGTGACAAATATGCAAAACAAAACTAAACAAAAAAACAGGAAGGGGGCAAAAGCCATTTCATGGCACTGTGTATATATATATATATATATATATATATATATAAACGTAAGTATATAACAAAATGCAACAAATTGATTCATCAAGTACGTATAGCACAAGCTACTTGTTAAGAACTTCTGTTTTAAAGCACACCGTGGTTTCGAGAACCACATCTTGAGGACTGTGTGTAATTGATGTTCTAGAATGAAACGGGAAAGTCTTTTAAAGTCATGTGAACCACAAACTTTATTTTACTCACAAATTCAAAACCACTACTCTAAAAACCCATTAGAAGTTCCTGAGGGAACACTAGGTGAACTAGCCTTCTGTGTCGGCCTACAAACTGACGTCACGTCTGAACAGCTCTATGTGCACAGAGTAACATCCCGTCTGCATTGCAAGCAAATGACGTGTCCAGACTAGAACACCTTGGTTATAATCAACAAGACTGTCTTCACTGCAAAAGTGTGATTATAACGGGAACGTTTAAGTTTAGACACAGTGTAAAAGTCTTTTATAAATAAGGTGTGTATCAATGTGAGGATGATGTGATGCACCTCACCTCAACTCTCTTTCCATATGTCAGCCTGTCTCTCTCTCTTCTCCCTTTGAAGATGGTATAGACTTGATTCAGATGCACAGATGTTTAACACAGATAAGATCAATTCAGTTGTTTACAGGTGAAAATGGTGACTTATAGCACTTATGTAATGGTGACACATTACATCTCTCTGCCTGAATCAAAGTTAAAAGACTGTTCCAGGTTTAATACAAGTGAAGCTTTATCTGCCGCAAAAGATAATTTCAGCTCATCCATCAGTTCGTGAAAACAAACAAAAATGATATTTGCAGTAATGCACTTATAATGGGAGTCTATGAGGCATGGCACTGCACTACGTAGAATAAGTGTTAAAATACACAGTGTTTTAAGCATGTAGCCACATAGTGGTTTTGAAAATGTAGTAAACTTGAACTGAAGAAAGCAGCATCATGGATTACAGACTTTATTATTTTAGCCAGAAGCAATGTTTAGAAATTAAAATGATTCGTTTAGTACAAATATGTAGTGTTTCACGTCAGAAGATGTTAGATGTTAAAGATTGAGTGGTGTGGATTACTTGTGAATTATTGTGATGTTTTAATTAGCTGTTTGGACTCTCATTCTGATGGCACCCATTGACTGCAGGACATCCATTGGTGAACAAGTGATGTAATGTTAAATTTCTCCAAATCTGTTCCAATGAAGAAACAAACTCATCATCATCTTGGATGGCTTGAGGGTGAGTAAATGTATTGCAAATTTTCATTTTTGGTGAACTATTTCTTTAATCTAGAACATTCCTTTAAGTCAATTTAAAGTAAAGGTTATGTAACAATTTGACAATCTAACTACTTTAATTCAATTCAAGAGTTATACCAGGATGGCTCCGCTGGCATTGGTGAAAATATTCTGACTGAATCCTAAATCACTGTTATACATTACAATGTCCATATGTGCATATGCCACAAACAAACCTCTTGAATATATTTTAGATTCCGTTCCATGAACTTCACAATCTTTGGCATATCCAGGGACTTGTTGTTCTCTGCTATGGGTCATCTGACACACGATCTGAGCAGATCCGGTCCATGCTGCTGAATCATAAATGCTCCAGAGAAGCCAAAGGGATGCCAGCTAAAGTTTACTGCTAAATCTAGCAGCAGAGGCACATTTATAGTCCATTTCACTGCCCACAAGTACTGCAGCTATGAGTTATGAATTTATTTGACAAATACAACTTTGAACTTACACTTTCATGCTATTACTGAATATGGTACAGTTTCTGATCAAGTATAGTCAAGCAACAATTTGTGGTACATTACTCTTTATTATTAATTTGCTATTATAGTATTAGTATTTTGACTTTTTTATATTTTCGATTTTTATTTTAATTGTACTTTAAGTTTTGCTAATCGTTTAATACGCTTTTGTCATTTTTATTAGTTTTTAAAATATTTATATTTAGCTTATTTCTATCATTTGTATTATTTTTATTTTGGTTTTAGTTTTTTTTAAAGCAACATTTAAAATTGTATATATATATATATATATATATATATATATATACTGTATATATGTGATTTTATCAGTTATTGATTTTAGTCTTTCTGTCTGTATCTTTTTGTCTCACTGCATCTCTTTCTTGCTTTCAGTGCAGATGTGGAGAACTGCTTTTGTATGCTTGACTTGTGGATGAGAGCTCATTTGTTCTCATGGTAAAGTTCATCTGTGTGCCTGCACTGAGCTTTCAGTCCAGGGGTTGAAGAGTACCATCCATCCCTGAGCTATGAAACGCTGCTCTGACCATACAACACAGCTTTTTCATTCTGTGACTAAACTGTATTCCTGAGCATCTCCAGGCAGTTTATGCAGCTCTTCAACTAGCCTTACTGATCAATAAAATATATAACCTAGCTTGTTTGTTTTGTCAGACAGGTTCAAGAGAGACTTGAAATATTAATAACCTGCACTCTCATGATGTAAATAGAGGTGTACTGTATTTTGGTTTGGACGTAAGCTTGATTTGTTTTATCTCAAAATGGCCCACCTGAAAAGGTGAATAAAATTAGTAAATCACAGTTCAATAATGTAGAAGATTAGATATTTCTCTTCAATAGTCCCGTTCTGTTGTACATGCTATGTGGTTTTATGCATAAGGTATGTGTGCGTACGTGCATACTGTACGAGCACGGCCCATATGTGCGCGTTGACTTTTTTTGCACTACTTAAATTGTCCACAAGGTGGCAACACTGACCTGGGCCGTTGTTTTCACTGTTGGAAAATAAATGGTGGAGATGGAACGAGAACAACAACAAACTACTGAAAACTGCAAAAACAATAACGCCTGCATTGACGAGCAATTCGTGTGAGGGGATTAAAATTACTCTAGTAATAAAAAATAAAAAAAACTCAAAGAGAAAAAAAAACAATAGTTTAATTGAGTACAAAGATATTTTATCGCTTTTGAAGAAAAAAGGTGCAGACACTGGACAAGGATGAATCTTTCTAGTGCACTATTAAATGAAGGCTGCGGATTCGACTATGAGGTGTACTTTGGGATATTTAGGTTGCTAAATATAAATATTTCAACAGCTGTTGTGTTGTGAAGATCTGTATAATAGTAGTAGTTTAAAATAAGGTGTTTATGCTAATCTCTGCTAAGGTAGACTTTGCAGCTATGTTTATTATAGAGTTATTAAAGATTACCTTTTGAATCAATTTGAAGTTCAATGATGCATCAAATCGAGATTGCATAGCTAGAAGAATTTGTTGTTTACAGACTTGTATATATGATTTGGGCCTGAATTTCCAGACGGTAACAAGCCACAACAGCAGACTGCAAAACCTGCAGACTGATGCTTAATTAAAGAAGACTGCAATTAATTTCTCTCCTATATGAACTAACAGCTACAGATGGTCATTTGCGCCGTATGAGTTCGCTGGCACAGTCATCTCTTTGTTGGATTCATAAATTCTTAGTGTTTGTTAAAATAACTGGAAATTGCTTGTGTTGCACCAAAAAGTTTCCACTAAAATGTTGCTTTGCAAATGTTTAGATGACTCTGCAAAAAGTCTTGGATATATATGTTATGACGTGTTTTAGTGACCCAGAGTATGGAAGTATATAGGAAAATGTCAGTATTTTTCATTACAGTACTGTATGAATTACATAACATCTATTATGCAAGCCTCTGTGATCGTCTTATGCACCGCATGGTCAAATATAGTATGCAAACAGACATAAGTCAGCATGCTCATGTGCAACATAAGTCACATGCAATAACAAGCAATAATAATTTACTTTAATTCAAATAAATCTACAACCAAATAATGTTGAAATCCACCAGTGTTATTTTAGTATAATTGAGATACTATTATAGTTCTATTCATGGTTTGAATTTGTTTTTATTTTTATATTTGCCATTTTATTTTAATGAAGTCTTAGCAATTTTGTTGACTTTTTGTCATTTTATATATTAAAAAAAAAATCGAATTTTTTCATTTTATTTCAGTTAATGGTTATTTTAAGTAACATTTCTGTACGTTACTATAATAATCATGAAAGCTACAGCTGCCAAAGATTTCCAAAGATAGATAAAACAAATTAAGGCTTATGGAATTACAGATGTCTTATCCAAGGCTTCCCAGAATCCTCTGAAACAAGTTGCAAATATTAGCAGAGTGATATTTTGGTGGTTTGATTAACATTGGTAGAGCATCCACTCTGCTGAAAGGTCAAAGGTTGGTTGTGTAACTTAATCAGCAAGACTTTTTCATGATCAGCTTCATCAGCAAGACAATAGTAGTTGAAACAAACAGACTTGCTAGATTTTGCTGGTGAACAGCATGTTCACATTTCCACCATCTCTAGACCAACACCAAACTAGCTCTAATGAATGTGAATTAATGCTGTTTTATTTCATCAGGGCAGATGCTGCTGACCTGCTGGAGTGTGTTAATATTGAAGATGGTCTGTGTTTTAACATATCCCACAAGCCCTGTGTGACCTCTCCTGCTGAACACGGCACGAGAAAAAGCCCAGTCGGACTGCTGCTCAGGGACGGCAGAATAGCGATGGACGCTCTGTCTCTTCGATCAGTACATGTCATTGATGAATTGACAAAAACGCCTCCAGCGTCTGACAGCAGGCAGCAGGCAGCATACCTTGATACTGAGAATATGTGACGGACAAATGGAAAAGTACAGCAGCAGCTAATAACTGTCACACAGGAGATCTAACTATAACGATCCGGCCCTTCAGCATCCATATGCTCATGTAAATGATGTCAATAATGTGATTAATGTGTTTTATTACAGATATTTTAGCTTATTTTATTTTATTTGTATTTTTTTGTAGAGAAATACCCTTTTCCCTCTTACTATTAATAGAAAATGAAGGATTTGTCTGATATAATACATTTTAGCTTTATACATCACATTTATTTAATTTCAGGTAATGTTCAGACTGCAGTTACTGTAAATATGGTTGTCACTCCTGTCTTTAATCCTGTTCTGTACAAACTAAGTTCTGTCATGACAACTCTCGGAGGGATTGGCATGGTAATATACATGACAATGTTAAAGTATTTGGTCTTAGCGGAATAGATCTGCTACGCTGCTGCTGCTGCTGCTGCGGCAGAGCAAGTACCGAGACTTGCTACTGCCAGTACATCCACGACATGCTGCTATGAGCATTGTAAGAAATATTGCTGCTGCAAATATAACATACATGAAATAAACCCCATATAGCATACATGAATCACCTCGTAGCAGATCTATACAGGTGGAGCTGGGGAAGATGGAGGGTTTCTGAAGCAAGCTGCAACTGCTACTACAAGCATGGATCATATATTTGAATGTTGAGCAGTGAGCTCATTGGCTACCGATACAGGAGAGAACCAATCAGCTGTGCCATGTGATGATGTCATTAGGTCAGATTGAGTTAGACCTATCGGACTGCGCCATCTAGAGTTTCATGCCAGAACTCTGTATTTTGTTTATCTGTCTACAGGAGTACTGCAAGAAAACTCTCCCAGAAGAAGTCAAGAAATCAATCTGAGCAACTAGTCTTTAATGGAAAGATGGAGGTATGTGTCTTGACTTCTTCAGTTGTTCCCACCAGCTCTGTGGTCGTTGAGTAACTGTAGCATTCTTGAGAGTACATAGTGTTTAAAAGCTACAGAAAAAGATTACAAATATTTAGAAAGCTAAATGTGAACTTAGTGAAAAATTTAAGGGGGTCTGAATACTTTCCGTACCCACTGTACATTATATTGTGAGATAGTCAAGATAGTGAAAGTCATTGTGAGAAAATTAAGTCACAAATGTAAATTACTACTTTATTTCTCACATTTCTCAAAACAAATATGACTTTAGAATTATTTACAGTAATTATGTATGATTTATATTTACGCTACCATTCAAAAGTTGCTGGTCAGTATTTTTTAAACAAATTAATACTTTAATTAGTCAATGCATTAAATTGATCAAAAGTGGCAGTAAAGATTTTTACATTCAAATTTTCAAAATATTTCAAATAAATGCTGTTCTTTTGAACTTT